GAATTTGTAATGATAATGTAAGAATAAATTTAACATGATGAATACTAGCTGAACCATTCTCTACTACATCCAAGTTGTCGATTTCAATCATTGAATTATTTATTTTGAATGCAAAAGTTTCTTGACTTCTTTTAATAATAATAATAATAATAATAATGATGTTATACTCTTGATAAGATGCTTACTTCATTTTTCTCTCTTATTTTTTCTCTTTTATATATTTTTTTTTCTTCTAAATTTAAACTAACATGGAGCACGATCGGAGGTACGACGGATTCTAATAAATAGTTGCCTCGTAGGTGTCAAAGATGTTTCTTCCGTCTGTCATATTTTTTTTTAACTATAATTATATCAGCTTTTTTCATATACGAGCAAAATTTTAATTAAATACAAAAAAATCTTTGTCATCTGAGCTACTAGCGGCAGTTTTAATCTCGTATTATTGTATGCAAGAAAAAAAATATGATAATATTTTCTGGCGCAAGTACAGATGTGGATTAGTCATAAGTCTTAAAAGTAAGAACAAATACTCTAATGAATTATGATTTCATCTAGTCATGAAAGTGTTCTTTTTTACATACGTTAATACTTTTTTCTTATTTATGAACTGTATTCATATACATTCACTTATAAATATTAATCAAAATACAGAATGTTTGAAAAGAAGAGTTTTCTTATTCATGGATTCATCATTTTCAAGCTTCTATTTATAAATATAAAGTTATTTAATATTCGTATATAGTAGTATTTTTAGAATCAATATGGAAGATTAATATGAATAATTTTTCTTTCAATGCAGATAAACTTGAAATACATATAGAAATATCTTTCTTTAATATTTGTATTAAATTAAGCACATTGGTATCAGTAAGTTTATCGTTCTTTATTTATTCATCGAGAAAAATTCAAGGGTTGTATGGTAATATTGCACTAGTTTTACGTCGTTTACTTTTTCAACTTAATGTTATCCATTAGTCTTACCAGTCTTAATTTATAGCTAAACAAAAGATAATGAAAGTGACAAGAAATAAACCGAAATGACAAGGTGTAGTAGTGATATTAGTAATGAAAAGTTTTTTTTCTGGATAAATTAATTATTTACTTAGGTCGACCCTAGAAAATGTCGAACAGAAAAATATTGAACAATTTAACTAATAAGATATTCTTTATTCTTAACATAATAATAGTATTGAATCAGAGATAAAAAAAGTAGAAAAAAATAATAATGTCATCGGAATGTTTGATGTACCAGCACGACGTACTTTATTAAATGCACTATCTTGAAATAAACAAAAAGTTCACTTATAACATCAAGTACACAAGGACAATCTTTGTTCACTTATCTCAAGTTCACTTTGTAATACAGCTATTGCTGCAGATGATATCATTGCTTTTGCACATTCTTCCTCATAGATACGTAGAATATAGATGTTGTATCATGTATCGCTCATCGTTTCACTTTTTCACGAAATTCACACATATCTATATTTTCTTCGAAAAATAATAATAATCTTGAGATTTTAATCAATTTAAATGAAAAGTAAGTAAGTTTTGTAGTTTTATGCTGAAAATTTTAATTTAATGGAAGTTTTCGATCATTATCAACCTTTTAACACAACCTTATAATAAGATGTTACAACAAATCTCAAGATTATTATTATTTTTCATACATTAGTGATACATATAAGTAGTATTAAACAAATTGAGTATAATTTATTTGTGGAATGAACTTAACAACATTCATCATTATGTTTATGATGTATACGTTCATGTCTATAATTATGATGTGTATGGCTATAGTTCTATATATTTGTGTTCATATATTTGTAGAATCTCTTTTTGTATAACATCATGTTATAAGGTTATGTTAAAGGTTGATAATGATCGAAAATTTCCATTAAATTAAAATTTTCAACATAAAACTACAAAACATACTTACTTTTCATTTAAATACATTGTCTTCTTCAACTGATTGTCTAGACTCGTATGAATTTCTACGGAATATTCAATAAATATATATATATCCTGTGATTTGTAATTGCTTTGTTCAATTTGGAAATTAAATTTATCCCATACAAGCAAAAGTTTTCCTTTTTGTTATTGAATAAATGAAATACCAGACAATAGTAGCTGATTTTCATCTAATGAAGATAAACGAACTATAGCCATTATAATCGATGTTCAGTTTTGTAATTATTTCAATTCTTTTTTATTTATTATAACCCATTATCAATTATTTTATTTATATATCGAACAAGAATTTCTATTTATCATTATATTATAAAAATATAAAACATTTTCAAAATTACCCTGAATAATTAACAACGAATTAGATTAAAAGCATATAACGTATATCTTTTTATTATTATTATTCTGGATATGATCATTAATGTGACTATATATATAATTATAAAAATAACGATTATATTTTTACTTTTTGTTAAATTTAGAATTTCAATCATGCATATGATATTATCTAATAACATATTAAATTTACTCGTAAAAATTTCATACATACAAACAGATATTTCAAGATTATATAATTATCAAAAGATATATACAATATAAAAAAGAAAATTACAAAACAAAATATTGATAAAATGCAAATAATCTTTGACTCTCGTCTTAGAAATATGTCACTAATTCTGATCCTGTATCTACTTGATTGTTTCTCTTAATAACTTGTTCATGATCACTATTTCTATCAGATAAAACAGTTGGATTTTCTATAATATCTACATTTTCATCTTGAGATAATTTTGGATTACAAGCAATAGCACCTTTTGGTATCAATGTCGAAATGAATACTATTCCACATATGACTGTCATTTGTATCGCAACAGTATTAAAAAATGCAGGTCGTACAGTACCTGTTGAATTATAAACATGATCTATATAAATTCCAAGAAGTGGATTTAAAATTGCATAAATAATAATATAAGATGAATAAAGAAACGATGCAACTGCGCCTAACGCTGATATATTTTTATGTTTCGATTCTAAACCACTTAATGATGATTGAATAAATGAATTTAATGCAATATCATCTGCAGCTGATCCAAATCCAATCGGAATATATGTTGCAGCAATAATCCATGCATATCTAACATTATTAGCAGGTGGATAATAGAATGGTATATACCAAACAAGAAGTAATATAGATGCATCTAATCTTGACCATGGAAGAGGAGTTTTAATATAATTACCAAAAATAAATACAAATAATGCACCGAGTAATTCACCGAAATTTGAAGCACCAACAATAATTTGTGACCATTCAGATTGTTCAAGATAACGTTTAGCTATTTGTGGTGCTATACCATTTTCAAGATAACGATGTGCATAAAGTGTTAATGCATAACAACCCCATAACCAGACGAATTTTCGATGTGTAACAATTATTTTTGCTCCAATACAAAATGATTGAAAAAAGACAGCTATACCTTTTATTAATGATTTTATATATCCGGATTTTTCATTTTGATCATCATTTGTGTCCGTATCTGTTGTTAATCCCAGTGAATTAATAAATAACCAAACAATAGCAGCTACTGTAAATAATATTGGTGTAATAATAAATGAATAATTATTTCCAAGACGTGGTATTAAACCAAGAGCAGTTGCAAATGCTCCACTAACACCTGCTATTTCATAAAAAATATGAACAAGTGCATCCATTTTTTGTAATTTTTCCGGATTATCACCAACAATATCTCTTGGTATAACTCGTCGAATTAATTCAACCATACCAAAAGCTATACCAGTAATACAATAAATAGGTATAATTCCATCTGTATTATATTTTCCATAATATCTATAATCATGTTCATCTGTTTGAACATAATCTTTCGGTTTTATATAACCACCAGTTGCAGCATCAACAATCATAAGTACAGCACTAAATATTCCAAAAACAAATATTGATATTGATAGAACTGTACGTGTTGGCCACCGTTTTGCAAGTGGTGCAACAAGAATTGAACCAATACATTGAGATGCTTGATTAAGACCAGATAATAAACCAATTTTTTCAAATGTACGTACAGTTGTATTACTATGAAATGCTTCTTGATCATAACGATTTGCTGCAAGTGTAACAATAGATCCATTAAAAGCTTCTAAACCAAATTTATAAAGCATTATACCGACAATATAAATAATAATATTTCGTTTTTCATGTGATGAATAAAGTTTCCATATACGAAATATTCCAGATTTTCTTGAAGACATTTTCCAAGTTTTAAAATGACAACTATAACAAAAAGCAAAACAGTAGTAAATAATGATGATGATTATTTTTTCTTCTATCTAAAGTATATTTACTCGTTTTGATTACTTCTATTCTATTTAGCCGATTTATATAAGTCAAGAGAACTGATAAGTATTTGAAAAAAAACCAAGTATATTCTATACAATGCAGAAAAAGAAAAAGGAAGCAATGCTAGTTTTCATTCAACTCAATAACTTTACTGTATAATTAAATGAATATGATTCATAAAATGAAATTTATAATATTCTCATGTAATAAACCTTACGAACGATTGTGAGATATACGTGATGTTTTTAGTTTCAAACTTAATCTCGATAAAAATGATAAAGTATCTAACGTATTAATACTCTTGAAAATAGCTTATCATTAAAAAAATAAAAATGATTGATTATGACTCTTTTTTTTTAACTTTACGGACAAACTATTATTATAGAAAACATGATCGTTGATCTGTACTTCCTTATTTGATTATATTTTCTCTATTATTCATAGAGAAACGAAAATAATATTTTTCTTCTTCCTCTTTCTATTATATATCATAACTTACCTGTTTTTCAATTGAGAAAATATTGTTATTGTTATAGATACAAATGAATGTTTCTACCTATTGCATTCTGTATAATGTAACAAAGATTTATATCTATTTATGAAGAAAAATAAATTGAAATGACGAAAATAATTAGTTCTAGTTTTGTTTTAGAAAAAATAATAATTAATAGAGAAGAATTTTTCAATATTCAAATGCTGTTGAATGTTATGTTTGATCCATTTATTATAGACAAATAAAAAAGAAAATAAGACGGTTGATGATCTAGTGCTAGATACATCCATCACATTTTTTTTATATATCTAGTTCTTTTCTTTTACTTTCAATCGTCTTTTCTCTTTCTATCTACATGCAAATAGTAATGGCATACGGTCAGTGATTATATTCTCGATTCTATGTCTTGCATGCATTCTTTCACCTTTTCATAAATAACGCGGTTACGTAGTGCACTTTTTTTTATACTGTTATCTCCCTCGAATAACATTTTCAATTGTTCGATGTACACATATACAGAATTTACTACATATCATATATGTATATACGATATTTATAAGTGTATTCAATATCTTTACAATAATTGATGTTTATCGAAATCAGTTGAGTACATCGTGTACATTGTTTTTCTCATGACAGTATAAAACGAAAACAAAGGTGAAAGAATGACTAACTTTTCTTTTTTGAATATAATTAACTATAAAAACATACTATTGATTGTCACGAAAATGTATCTATAAAAGCTTAATCTTAATATCTCTTACTCTAGATGAGTGTTTTGTTGTCTCTCTTCTATTCATATTTCATTTTTGTTTGATATACAATTTTGAAATATTTTCAAAGGAGGTGATTCATCAACTGTCTGAGAAAGACTCATTTTGAAAAATATTTGTAGTTTCCATTTACTTTGTCTTTCATATTTTTGAATGTTTTATATATTGAGAAAATCGACAACGATATACTAATACAATATTTGCTAAACCATAGTTTCAGCAGTGAATAATTAACTGCATGTCATAAATCTATGACAGTCAAAATATTCAAATGCGAATATCAACAGTTAGAAGTTTATACAGAAAACTAGCTAAAAAAATTAGATCTTCGAGATTTCAATAATGTCAAAGTATATATTATCAAAAGATAATGATAATTACCTGTCAGATTCTCGAAAGTTTACTTTAATTGAGAACAATTTTTCAATAAAAACGCAACCCGTGCCAATTATCGAGAGATAACTGAGAAAGGCGGTACTGCAAAATTTATCTATTATTTAAGAACTATTAGTTTTCATTTCTCATAGTACTATTATTAATCATTCCCAATAGATTATTTAATCTAATTATAGCATTCATTGAATTAATGACTTGAGTAAGGCCTTGTTACAGAAATAATTAAAAGCTGGATTACATTTGTGAGCTTGTACAATCACATGAAAGAAATATCCTTATCATTGTATTTCGATTAGCGAAGTACATTCTTGGTATAAAGCCTATCGCAAAAATTGAATTTAGAAATTTTTCTTAATTCTATCCTTCTATCTAGATATTCATTACAAATACAATGAAGAATTAACGAAAGAAGAAAACGAATTACTGAGTTATTGATAAAATAATTGGCTGTTATATAAATGATATTTATTTATATAAGTCATTACAAATTTGAACAATTAGAAAAAAAATGTTTATTAACACGTTGTCTGTCCCCATACTAAAAAATGAGTACATATTCTACGTCCATGTTTAATTTTAAAATATATTGTTTTTAAAGTGTATTACGCTTATATACCACAAAAATAAATTTCAAAACATATCTCCGATGTTTTTTTCATCATGCAACACATATGATTCAATTGTCTCTCTTAGAATAATACTGAACTAACTCTGTTGGAGGAACGATGATTATATTTATAAAAGAGCTGGGAAATATTAAACATTCCAGAAATAAAATATGACGAACAGGAAAATATACCTAAACAACATAAAGAGAAAGAGAGAAAAGAAAAAAATGCAAATAAGCCTCAACAGAATTTAGACAATTCAAGAAACCATTCTGCTTAGCTCGTTTTAATGAGTTTCATTAAACATGATTACGGAAACTTGTGACTATTCTTTTATTTTCATTTAAGTTGGTAAAGGAGAACAGTTCGTTTTATATTGAAACACTTTTTTGTAATAAAAACATCTGAAATTTAGCATTCACTTTTTTTCTGAAATAAAAACAAAGCCCTGTTTCTTAGGATTTTATTATGTGCAGTGTATCACATATGATACACCGGACAGTCAACGTGTTAAAATGAAACGTCAACATGTATCTTCTTTGTGAGTACGAATAAGTCTAAATCATATTTAATATCTTTATTGTTTTGTAAAGATATTTATTCAGATCTTGAAGAATTGTCATAAATATTTTAGTTACTATTATTCAAAAGAAAAGTTTAAAAGTTTTTTTAAAATAAAAACTTAGATTTGATAATAAATAGGTCATAAAGTTTGTAGAGATGATTTGTCGGTATAAAAAAAGTCCTATTGTCATGAAAAAATGACGTCCGTATTAAAAATAGTAATATTCCATTTATTACTTATCTATAAAAATCATTGAATTTTTATAATAAAATTTATAATTTATAATAAAAATGTTGTCTGAAGTAGCGCATTACAACAGAAATAAACAAACTAAAAGCATCTTATGTCGACTAGAACAAAGAAATAGGCAGGCAACATTCTTTTAATGATGTACTTTTATGAAATGCGTAGGTTAGCCTGTTTAGTTAGTCAGTTGTGAATAAGTTGTTGTTTCTTTTACATCAAAAAAATATATATTATAGAAAGTATATTAATTTAATAATTAATGCGATTCGAAGCAGAAGCATTTATGTAGTCCTTGACGAGTTTTCTTCCTGTTTTCCTTACTTTCTCGACGTACACATTTAAAGTTGTGATTTTGTGCCACAATGATCTCAGCGACGATACATCAGAAAATACTCGTTTTAACGCAATAATAAAATATCGAGATCGAACTAATATCACACGTTTTCCGATTTTTAACAGGACGTTTAGTTCGTTTACAGGAAGCGTCACAAAAACACGATTTTTACTTTTTCAAATTTCGAGATAATTAAAACGAAAAGCAATAGCAAAAGTTAGGCGCCATTTTTCTCTAACAACTGTTTTACAGCTGAAACTGCAGCTGATAATAGATAATGAATCATCTAGATAATGTTGTGAAAACCTTAAAATCGTAATTTCGAAATCCTACTTCGCATCGCATTTCGTAGTCGCGTGAAACTCGAATACCATCTACTCTTTTATATTTATCAATTATCAGAATATAATCAAATTTTAGAATGACTTTTATAAGATAGTAATACTAAATTTTTTATAGATATAAATAAAAAAGAAGCAATTACGGTATATGAACGTGTTAAACGAGGTATAAGTCTCATCTTTAATTTATCGTTTACGCTCGTTTTCAACATTCTTTATATTTATTGTGTCGTTAGTGTTTTCATCTTCCTTTCACATTTATTCAAAAGGATTTTTCAGTGCATCATTCATTCTTATATTTTATAGTTTCAAGAATGTCAGCATCAAACATTAGTTCAAGTAATACCATGAAATTCTTTTTTGATGATGGTATTGCTATACCTTATATTGTTCGATTTTGGGTTTTTCTCGTTTCAAATATTTTATCATTTATTTGTTGTCTTTTCGTTCTTTATCAATTCCTTTTTGATTCAAATCTTCGTCATGGTTTACATAATCATGTTATGATTATTGTTCTTTTTATGTGTCTTATTGCAGAATTAACAACTGTTCCTTGTATAATGTACCTTGCCTTTTATGGAGTTGCTTGGATACAAACACCAACATTTTGTATGATTTGGAAGTTTTTTGATTCAACTACATATAGTACAACAATAAAACTTGTTGCATGGGCATCCATTGAAAGACATATTCTTATATTTCATGATCAATGGGTTTCAACAAAGAAAAAACGATTTTTCATTCATTATTTTCCATTAATATTTATTGTTTTGTACGGTGTAGTAGTTTATGGAACTATTACTCCTATGAATGGTTGTAATAGACCATTCTATTATTTTATACCTTTTTGTAATTATTCTAGTTGTGTATATAATAGTCTTGCATTTACTCTATATGAATATCTAACTGGTGGAGTATTATGTTCTGTTCTTATTGGATTTGGAAGTACTTTTCTTGTTTTACGTGTAATGCTTCAAAAGCGACGTTTACAACAACAAATTCAATGGCGCAAACATCGTAAAATGATACTTCAACTATTGTCTGTCTCATCACTTTTCATTGTTTTATATTTACCTCCTATAATTTTGGCTACTGCTTATAGACTTGGTGTTCCAACTTCTGTTGGAGCTCAATTCATTACATATAGTCGATTATTCTCTTATTATATTCAATTTCTTTTTCCATTTACATGTTTGAGTACAATACCAGAACTTGGTACTCGAATAAAAAATATTTTTCGATGTCGATGGAGGCAACAAACAAATGCTGTTCTTCCTCAGCAATGGGCTGCACGAGTACCAGTGGTTAATCGAATAAACAAACAGAAAACTACGACTATGTAAAACTTATTATATTTGTATTGTAATTATTTAGTAAAAATAAATTGATTGTTGTATTTAACTATTATCATTCTAATTTCATAACACGTTTATTCAATTAAAAGTGACAATATCGAAGAAAAAAAAGATTTTTATTTTTGTTGTTATATAAAATAATGAACATGAAATATGTCATGAATTGAAAAATATTCAACTACTAATATGAGTTTTATTCTTAATCTACTAAATGAAAATACTTAGGTCTGACTAAAAGTTCTAAGAAGATTAAATAAAAATATAAACATAAAGAGATATTTTTAATTTTATTTTACCAAATGTTGAGGATAGTTGCCATTATTATTTATATCAAGTTCGGTTTTTTATAACAATTCATTTAAATGTTTTTGGCTTCTTTCTTGCATAAACTTTTAAATACTCTGGTTATTGCATGAACTTATCATATGTTTCATTTGTTCTAAAAATTTAGTGAAAGTTTGTTCGAACATGTTAGTTACGTTCTAGTATTACTAGTGTTAAGATATCGATTTATTTTAGATAGGTTGTTCGTAAGTCATCTGATGCCAGCTGACTTATTAAAAATGAATCGTCATAGACTATTGTTTACAGAGAAAGATTTCTACTAAAACTTTGATTAGTATCAACTTTAGATTGAATTAATAGTCGTAAGCGTAAATAAAGACAAAACAGTGGGTTTCAAGTATTATATTGGAAGTTGTCGGAAGCCTTTGGTAATGAAATATGGAAGCAAACAGAGACAGCCGGTTTGAAATGGACAGAATTGTTTGAGGGTGTGATTGTGGGGTGGAGGTAAGTGTGGATATGAGTTTAGATTCATCTTTTCTTCACTCACATCCACCTACCCACACCCACACTCCTTTCTATAACAGAAAACATTAAGAGATATGGAAAAAATTTGTTAAAAATAATCTATTATAGAATTCATTATCACCATATATTTAATTAAGATTTAGTCCAACAACGAATTATTCTCGAGATTCTCATTCAATAAATGAATTAATTGGTTTGATATTATTGATCATAGGCCTTGTTCTACCAAGATGTACTACTTATTCTGATGACTGTTCAACAGCATATATAGTATGTCCTCATTGTTAATATGGCAAACATACCGTTATTCAACACCATTTTCTATCATGGTGAAAGTCGTTTACTATTGAAACTAAGTACTGTAACGGAAACCGAAGTATTAGAAAGCACATTCTGGCAACCAGAATTGTTCCGTATTTCCTTTCTATATTTAATTAGATGTACATTTGAAATTTCTTCTAGTTTATATGACGAGAGAAGAGACAACATATTGTCAGTGTACGGCATAGCAAAATAAATGTATTTTGTAGGAACGGATATGTGTGGATTTGTTTCCTCGTTATTATACACCCACAAAAGTGAAAATAGAATAGAGATTTATCATTGACTTATTTATTATTTACGTTTTTTTTCAAGATGTTTTTAAAAATTGACAATTTTGTAATAAATTCGTTCGATTAACAATATAATCATGAATTTTATATTGAAATAATCGAAAATCATCATTATATAACTGAATAAGTTGACAAATTAAATCATCTGATAAAGTTGTATAATATTTTTGATAATCCCATTTCATAAGACCAGATGGTCCATTTCTTTTTTCAATATTCCAATTTGTTATATTAAAATGTTTAAGAAATTGTGAAAAATCTTCATTAAATAATTCATATTTTCCAACGAAATTATATTGAAATTTACAAACTTGACAAAGTGTTGAATATGGTTGCCAATGAAAATTCATTCGAGCAATTCCATTGGGTCGATAAGTTGCAAGAAGAATATAACGAACAAAATCTCCAAATGATGGAATTGTATTCATACACGAATCTTCTGACGGAATTTTTTTTGAAACTACACGTTTATAACAAATTTCCATACGCATTGCATCATATTCAGGTTCAGGTTCGATTCGATCTTTACTAAGTGTTGCTATTCGTTCTTTATAAGCTGATGCTAAACGTTCAAGTGGATGACGAACAAATATCATTCGAGTAAATGATGAAGAAAATATTTGAGATAAATTTGAAAGACTCTGAAGACGAAAATATGGAAATGAAAATGTAAAACTAAGTCTCCAAGGATTAATTAATCGTGATCGATATCTTTCGTTAATTTGACCAAATTGAATAATATTTAGATACATATGAAGAAACTCTAATAAAGATTTTGGTTTTTCGTGTTCAGGAATTATAATTCCATTCTAAAAGAAAGAAGAAGAATAAATAAAATAGAATAAATCATTAATATTTCTTACAACTCGAAGTTGTTCAATAAATTTCGAAATATTTATCATTTTTTCGATTTTCGCTTTCGAATTATCAATATTTGTCCAATTATTATTAAGATGATTAATTAAATCACGTACATGAATATAAAGTATGACATTAAGAAGAGTTTTTGTTGCTACTTTTGGTACAGGACAATACATTAATGATTGAGATTGTAATACAAATGATATCATACTTATTAATTGATTTGGATAAATTTGAAAATTATGAGAAGATTTATTTTCTGGACATTTTTTTAAATAAGTTGAATTATCTGTTTTATTAATTGATAAATTTGAATTGATGTTGATTGTTTGAGATAATTCGAAATCGATTTTTGTATTTGTAAGAAAAACATCTGTTCGATATTGAAATATTGTTAAGAAACTTAGAAAAATAATCATTGAGAAAGAATATTTTTTAAAATAAATCAAATAAAATGTTGAATTAATAATAATTTTTAGACACATTTATAAAATTCTAAAGTATAAAAATAAATTGATAAGAGTGGTTCCATTTCTTCGTGCATGACAAATGCGTTGTTCTCTTTTTTTCTGACAAGTTTTACAATTTACAAAGAATACTTTATTCGATACTTCATCTTTTCAAAATAAACAAAAATCTGCGTAGGTATAATTATCAAATGTCACGAATTAAAGAGAGTCACTTTTCTTTTGTTCAAAAATTGATGCTTCAGAATTTTATTTATTTTGAAATTAAAACGATCGAATAAATTGTATTTTGTATATATTAGAATTCTTGTCACTTTTTTTTTGAAAATAATTTTCTTTACATCAATTTAAGCAGATAATTGATAACTACTGTAGATTAATCCCTATTAAGTTTGATAGTGTCTAATTTGAAATAAATTACAATAGTGAATTACCAGAGATATATTTACCTTATTAGTAATTTTAACCAATATGCACAATACGATGAATTTACATATACGAGTGTTTTTTTGTCGTTCTCTTTTCATCTGTCTTTTGTTATTATTGCAGAAATTTATAATGTCTTTGGACATTCATGACAAAGAAAGAAAAAAGTACATTAGGGGTGGAGTATTGTGCTAAAAAAGTACATTTTATTCTATTATAGGATAAGAAATTTTTAGATAAAAATAAAATCAACTTAAAAAGAGCATTCACATAGAAGAAAAAAAAGTAAATTCCACTTTCGCCGAAAGAAATTGCCAAGTGAATTTCCCACCGAAAGTCCATACAAAGTGTATATAGTTGATCTCCAAGTGAAAGGTGTGGGTGAGGGTCTGAGTCTGGTTCTGGGTATCTATCATCTCGCAACCTACCCATACTCATCCATCTGAGTTGGTAACTATGTCAGCTGGCACCCATCCAAGATGGCAATCGAATAACATGGGAGCCATCTGACTTGGAAGTCGTCCCACTTGAAGATCAATTGATTGGGTATCACAGACTAATTATCCAAAACACAATTTTTGCCTATAGAATCAATTCAGTAAATTTTATTTCCGGCAGAATTCTATATCTAATTGCCATAGAATACAACACTTTTTATTTTATTTATTTATACATTGATGGTGTTATAAAAGACATGCAACGTTAAGTACATATTTTATTTTATTCTTCTTTTTTAACTTTCATATACAATACTTCTGATTATATTAGTCGAATTATTAAAAAAAGTTCATTTCATCATATATCATAATATCTACTAGCATTGAATATGACGGCTTTAATAACTAATGATATTGACAGTCTAGGAGTTCTGAAAAAAAACTAATTATCTACATGTTGTGCAACATTATAAAGAAAAAAGTGAAATAATAGTTCTTAATTTTTTTCTTTCTGTTTTTGAATGTTAGAATCAGCTCATTCTCTCACTATGATGAAGATTCATTATAGAAAAGATCAAATCTCATGTATTACAGATGACTATGATGCTTATTTACATTAATTTTATTGTTTTGTAATAAATTGAGAATTATTTATTTAAAATGGCATCATTATCGAATATGAGTGCATTTATCACTTTTACTATTCAATATAATCGATTTGTGCCACCTATCATATTCTTTTTTGGTTTTATTGGCAATATTCTTAATAATATTACCTTTTCAAGTCATACACTTCGTAAGAATCCATGTGCAACTTATTTTTTCTGTTTAGCAATTACTAATCTAAATAATCTTATTTTTGGTTTACTTCTAAATTATCTAATCGATGCTTATCATATTGATCTTATTACTCGCACATTAGTATTTTGTCGTCTTCGATTTCTAATTTTACATTGTTCACTTGTACTCTCATCATGGTTTATTGTTTTAGCTGGCATAGATCGTTTTTGTGTTAGTTCACGAAATATTAATCGACGAAATTTTAGTAATTTGAAGAATGTGCGTTTGTTAACAGCTTTGGCTATAGTCGTCTGTTTTGCTCTGTATGCTCATATTTTTGTTCTTTTTACCATTAAACAAACTGAATCAGGTCCAGTTTGCTATGCAGAATCTGGTTCATATCAAGTCTTTTATGATTTCCTATTTTTTGCAACATTTAGTTTTACACCACCAATACTAATGATTATTGTTGGTCTTGCAACATTCTATAATACTTGTCATGCACATAGTAAAATCAAACCAGTGAGTATGATGAGTACATTAACAGTATCATCTAAGACTATTCGATTACGAAAGAAAGATCGTGAATTTGTGAAAATGTTACTTATTCAATTAATTTCTACAGTTATTTTAACATTACCTATTGCTATTCAAAAACTGTATTCAACATTTACACAACAGATTTCAAAAAGTTCTGATCGATTATTAGTTGAGACATTTTTTCAACAATTTGTACGAACATTAACACATATCAATAGTGGTGTGAGTTTCTATCTGTAAGTAAGATTGTTTATTTATTTGAATTGTAAATAAACTTATATATATTCTATCACATGTAGATATACACTTTCGAGTAGTGTATTTCGTCATGAACTAGGTGTACAAATTAGCAAGATTATTCGAATGATTTTGGGTGTTGATAATGAATTTTATCGACGATTTCGTCAAACAATATGATTATTACTACTACTATACTTATTCAATGATCAAGAAAAACTAACAATAATCATTAGAAAAAGAGAATTATAATAAATAATCATCAATATCTACCGATTCGATTGGTTTTTACAATGATGTATTTTTAAAAATAATTACAATCTGAGTTTTCTGTATCAGACATTCTATATATTAATTTCATCTGTTGTTTTTGTCTGTAAATAAATTAATGTTTTTCTGTTTTATATTATATTTCATGTGTTTGACTTTGTTCTTTATTTAAAAAAAATATTTGTAAGTTAAAACTAAAGTGAACAGACATGATACAATTATTGTGATATAAATAATTAGCTAGTAATATGGATATTATCTTGATATTTTATATTTTTTGTTTGCATCTGATCTATCTTATGTTTTAAAAGAATAAAAATTATAATAAACATAATAGCGGATATTGTTTTATATTTTAATTGCTTGGATATGTGTATTATTATTAATTGTCTAAAAAAATAAAGATTAAACATATCTTCTTAACTTAAAATAATTATATTTTGATAGGCGATGAAAAAGGTTAGAGAAAATTAGATTCTGTTTATATGAAATAATGCTTTGTAGTCGAGTATAAACTTATGAGGTAATGCAACATTTCTTTTCTTTTTTATAAAATTGAAAGATTCACTGTTATTCATTGTGATTACTTCTTTTCTCGTTATAGTTTGTTACATTGTAATAGTAAAATCAATAAAGTATGCTTTTACTCTCTAACCACCTACTATAGGTAATAATAGACGCCTACAAGATTGAGTTATATTTACAGATGGCAATTTTCTCACAAATCCTTTGTCATTTTTATATTCATATTATTTTATTTTCTATAAATTTCCAAGATATAATAAAAGCAATTATTATTTGAATATAAAAAAATAAAAGTTGATTTCTTGTCAATATGTCATTAGAATCATATGAAATAATTGATCGAGCTATTGGTTTAGCATATGGTACAGCTATTGGCGATGCTATGGGTATTCCATTTGAAAATCTAACTCCAGAACAAATTGCTGAAATTCAAATGTCATTAAAAAGTAAAAATGACTTATTATTTGTTAATACTGCTGGTCGTAATCCATATACTCCAAAAGAATGGCAAACAGGACGATGGGGAGATGCAACACAGCTTTCTCTAGCTATTATGAATGCAATTACAAAACATATTTGTGATGATGATGATGGTAGTGAAAAGTTCTCACTTATTGATCGTATTGTCGATGAACATGTGAAAGAATGGTGGGATTGTACAGATGGTTGGGGTAATGGAACTAAAAGTGCAATTGAAAGAATTGCTCAAGGATGTTATTCTTATTGTAATAGTGGTGGTTCATCAAGTGGAAATGGTGTGATTATGAAATTAACACCAGTTGCCTTCTTCTTTCATATTTGTAATTTGAATATAAATGATGAATTAGTTGAATGTATTTGTCGAATGACACACATGAGTTCAGTCACAATTGCTACTGCATTTATCTATGTTTATTTATGCATATTCATTTTTGAACATGATTTCCCATCATCGATTGCTGAAAAAAAAGCTTTTCTTAAATATATTCATGAGTTATCTGTTAAGTATGAAGTTAAATATCATGTTGTTACTGAAAAAGATTTATTAAGTCTTCGTATTCAACGCTATATGGAAAAAATTGATGAAATTAATGATGAAGTTTTATTAGATGTTAGTCATGGTGGGACATTCTTCTGTGTTGATACATTATCGATGGTTATTGGTTTGATTATTGAAAAGCGAGTGACATTTGAAAGAGTTGAGAAAGCATTAGAAATGGGTGGTGATACAAATATTGTTGCAGCTATGATTGGTGCAATTTTAGGTGCTAAACATGGTGAAGAGGCTATTGATCATCGTCGTGTTGACATTGTTTTTCGCACAGATTATGTTCGACAAGTTGGAGAAGAATTCGGAAAAGCACTAGTGCAACATCTCAGTCTTCTTCCAATTGGTTCGGAGGTTTTATAAAAAGGAGGAAATAATAAAAACTGATCTAATAAAAGGCAAGAGCAACAATGATCATTATAGATATATATCTGTAACATAATAATAAGACATTCTACTCTAAGATTGGTGATAGTTTGTATAGAAAACTAATTATTATTATTGGCAATAAAAGAAGATTTATACTAAGTTTATCTTTCATTTCATCATATTCATATTATAGTTGTTGTATGAAAATTGTCAACTCTAAAAATTGATTTTAACTGTATGTTGAATAGAAATAAAAGCATGAAGATAATTCTGTTAACAATAATAATAATAAGTCTGGAAATATAAAAACTAATATGCATTTCTTATTTGTCACAAACACAAATTAATAGTAATATTTTTAAGAGAGATTTTCATCGAAATAATTTTATATGATTAAAATCAAAAGAAAGGAAAATTTTAAATTTATTTTAATGAAAATCTTTCTCTATGATGAATAAACTCCAAATGCATTGCAATTAATAACTATTTTATTATTCATATGTTAGTTTTACTTGACTTTTCTTCCAGATCATAAGATATGAAGATGATGATAATATTTGAAGTATCTAGATGAACAATGGAAATTCTTTAATCAAAATAATTATTTTCATGAAATAAATGTATCTTTTCAATTGCGAATAATGTTATTAGATATCTATCGGGGTTTTTTTTATGACATTTAATTATATTAAATAGAAAAACATGACAAAATAACAGTGAGCTGTTAATGTGATATTTTAAAAGAGATATGTTTCATACATATTTTAATTAAATTCAAGAGTGTTATATTGATGTAGGCAACTTATTCGCACACAAGAATATTTTTGACGCTATTAGTAAATCGGTGTGATATTCAACACAAAACGAAATATAAGCATTGAAAGTATGTGTACTGACAAGAAGAATTGTCAAAATAAGATCGAACAGTACTCTTTATTTAATAATGTGTATAACTTGTTAGTAATAAGAACAAATGATATTATCAAAATGAAAACGATATAAATATAAATATCAAAACAAATAGAATTCGAATGGATTGACAATGTTCTAAATGGATAAAACGCACGCTATCAATTGGTGCTGCTTCGCCATTTGCTCTTAAATTAAAATTAGGAACGACACAATCCACAATGCCAGAACTAACTTTGATTATAAATGAATAATAATTTGTAATTATTAAAAAAGTAACATATTGGTAATAAGAAACGAAATAACCTGGTAGACGTTGTATAATATCTATAAAAGTTATTATATAACTATGACATATCAACCATAAGAGTGTTATATAGATAATGTATATGCATAAAAAATGAAGAGTGTTTCGTCGTCTTGTTAAATCATTGGATTAGGTGAGTAGTACTCAATGAAATGAAAAGGAAATTAAATAAGTTGGACTTAATTTATCGATTAATAGAAAATATGGCATAAAAATGAAAGCGACAAATCTATCGATTGTATACCGTAGGATCAATACAAGCTTAGGACCGAGTGGAATTTATATATTGTCAAAATACAGGGGACATTGATTCAACAGATGAGTTCATCTTATATAAGAATTTAAATCAGCATATGTTGAAAGAACACTGATAATTCATTGTTTACTAGTTTATAAAGAATGTAAAATATGACTTGTGTTTCTATGAAGCTTGAAAAAGTCACAACATTTTTATATATTATGACGTGTTTATAAATTCTGAAGATAAGCTTGTAACAATCATGACAGTATTCGATTTTAAATATAATTCATTTTTATACTTTTTAACGCTATATACTTAAAAATTGTTTGTAGCAACAAAACGCTCAGTATAACAAGAATTAAGTCGAATAGAGTTCTATTACAGATAATCAATACTCATACTATAAGTCTAATAATTAGAAACAGTTCAACTAGGTTATTCTCACTCCAGCTTTACACTGACACAGATGACTGTACACATTCTGAAAGTAATTACTTGATAAAATAATCTTTCTTGAAGAATTTTTTGTGATTGATCATATGTATATTTATAATGATATAATGGAAGATTTTAACGAAATTACTCACTATAGAATGAAAATCGAGACAAAATTTTTAAACTATAACGAAGATTTTGATATTTCCAATAGAACAAAAGCTACAGTATTTATATTTGTAATGTTACTGCTCCTAAAAAAATAAATATATGTTCTTTTAAATTTCTATAGTATAAAATAAATATTTCTGCCAAATTTGTCCAATAACATATCAATTTATAGTAAAATTCATCGACCATGAAAGTGATGATCTAATTTTTACTGTCGATTCACACGTCTAACTCTATTTCAAGAGAACAGTTTCTATACCATCTTATAAAATATGTATATTTGATTTTACAATCAAATGACATGACAATATAATTTGAATAAAAACAAATTCATTCAGATTTTGCTGATTATTACATAGAACACAGTATTCATGTCTATTATATATCATTTTATATCGACATAATAATTGTAACAAAAACTTCGTGTACTGCTGTTATGGCATTTCTGTCATTCTGTTATTGACATCATTGTTTTTCGTTTTTCTTTCTACAAGTAATTGCAACATCATGTGAAACCAATGACAAAACAAACATCTACTCATTTCATCGGAAGAAAAAATAATAAGACATCACATAAGCAGTATACAAGTCAACGCAGCGCGCATTTCATAAACAGTCTGCAATGGCAAATCAAACTGTCGCCAGCTTTCTTACCTTACCGGTAGAACTTGTCTACCGAATTCTGGATTGTCAATCGAATTTAACACTTATATGCTCAATGAGAAACGTGTGTGAACGATTCGATAGAATCTTGGACAGCTACGATCGATACCAGGTAAACATTTTTCTATCATGATACTTTCATTTTTATCTATTGACTCTAATAAAATATACGTGAATAAACTATTTCTCACTCGAAATAGTTCATTAGTTGCCCCTCCCTCTCACCAAGAATTCATTTCTCATATTATAACAGCATGCACATAATGTCCAGATAGCCAGAAAAAATAAATTCCTTTTTTTTCTTTCTTTTCAGTTTCATCTAAATATTTCACGTTTTCAAACTAGCTTTGATGTCATAAACATACAATGTTTACATAAGAATGAAAAAAAGGAACAAAACATTATTATTTGCTTTTTACGTGTATCAAAGCACGTTTTCTTTTAAATACTATTTCGATAATTAAAATCGGCTTTTGAAAGAAACTAACGATTGATCAAACAGTTTATCTTGTTATAAATAACAACTTTGATATCTTCTTGAGAAATATCTCCGATAAATACTCCTTCAAGAACATGAGTAACTATCGATGCAGGTGATGGTGGATGTGGATCGAGACACCATTCAATCATATCACTCACACCCATTTTATCAAGGTGGAATATTTCTTCAAAGAATACTACCTCTAAAGCAAATTTGATTCCATAATAATTGCCCCGAAACGGATTTCATCTGAGGTACACTTTCTCAACGATGAAATTTCAAGAATCATTCGTTAGCAATCTTTTTTATACGATGTTTCCTCATGCATTTGTCATCTACTATAATGAATCCAAGATTACGAAATAAATTCTGTGGCATTTCACCTTTTATAAATCAATGTTGCTCCTTGAAAATAACCGTTTGGTGGCATCGAAAGCAACCATCAAAATCAAACTCTCAGTTATATAAATTATACGCATCAGTAAGACTCAATTCGATGTAAAATACTTAAGGAGGCTGAACAATGGACATCGACGAAACCCGTCCGCTAACTATTAACAAGAAACTATCTTTTATCATACTTACGGAGTACTAACACGCGCTACACCATACTTGACAACGCTCAAAAACACTTACTGCAATACGTTGTCATATGAATACATTGTATTATGCTTCACAATTACTTTGAGCAGAAGTGCCTTACAAATTATTTTTCATTAATTAAAAGCTTTTGCGTTTCTCCGAAACATTTAGAGATTACAGTAACTTACAGATAAAACGTTTCTATCCCTACATCAACCTTGGTGACTTCTTTTCACTCCAGATTTTCACAATACATCATCAGAATACTATGCACTATATAAAATCCCTAAAATATTCATATTGGTACCCATAGGACCTGAAACGGGATCAGAAGAACATTTATTTCACTTTTCTAATTTTCTGTAAAACTAACCAGCTATTCTTTCTCTTCATCATCACTTTTCCATTTAGACACTCACCACTCTAGATCTCTCCGAAAATCAAATTGGAGATGTCGAAGCACAACCTTTGGGCGTTGCATTACAACACAATACAGTGACTCTCACTTTCTCTTTATCTATGCCATCTCTTCACCTGCCATTCTTTATCTAGACACTCACCACATTAAATCTGGAAGATAATGCAATCGGAGATGTTGGAGCACGATCTCTGAGCAATGCATTGAAATATAACACAGTAACTCTCATTCTGTCCTTATCTATAGCATGTCTTTAACTTCACTTTTTCATCTAGACACTCACCACACTAAATCTAGGCTACAATGGAATCGGCGATGTTGGAGCACAAGATTTAGCTGATGCATTACAACACAATACAGTAACTCTCATTCTCTCTTTATCTATATCATGTCTTTACCTCCACTTTTTCCTCTAGTCACTCACCACACTAAATCTAGGATATAATAAAATCGGAGATGTTGGAACACGATCTTTCGGTGATGCGTTAAAACACAATACAGTAACTCTCATTCTCTCTTGATATCTATAGCATGTCTTTAACTCCACTTTTTTGTCTAGGTACTCACCACACTAAACCTCTCGGGCAATAAAATCGGAGATACTGGTGCACAATCCCTGGGTAATTCATTACAAAGCAACACAGTAACTTTCGTTATCTCTTTATATTTGCCATGTTCTTACCCATACTGCTTCATCTAGATACTCACCACACTAAATCTCGCACATAATGCAATCGGAAATATTGGAGTACAATATTTAGGTGATGCATTACAACACAACACAGTAACTCTCATTCTCTCTTTATCTATACCATGTCTTAGCTTCTATTACTTCATCTAGACACTCACTACATTAAATCTAGGATATAGTAAAATCGGAGATGATAGAGTACAATCCTTAAGTGTTGCATTACAACACATCACGGTCAGTCTTATTCTGTTTATATTTGTGTTACATCTTTACCTTCATTTTTTTATCTAGACACTTACCGAACTAATCGTGTCGGGTAATCCGATCGGGCGTGATACAATAAATGCGATCGAGGAATTACTTAAACGAAACAGAAGATGAAAACATCGTGAATAGTAATATATAATGTGTTTAGATAAGAAATAAATCGCTGGTAATGACCATCGGAGTATTTTTTTTCTGTTATAATTTTGTCAGAAATAGTAAATAAAACTACTTGGTTTGAAACTTAATCTCAATTGCCACGAAAATGTTGTTTAGCACTTCTGATTTTTGGCGAGACAAGTCATGACACTCGTAAAAAATAAAACTTGCGAACTAATTGGGCGAGTGTGTTTTGTATGCAAAACTAAGTCGAGGTTTTATGTAACAATATTAAAACTGTCAAAGATTCTTTTCATGATGGATGAGCCAGCAAAGGTTTGTATGATAGTAGCAGAACTGTGAAAGATAGTTTGCGGTTACAATGAACGATTTTCTGTGATATTAGTAAAACTCTGAGACGTTCTTTCTAGTATTGCAGAAGCAAAGAGTTGTGCTCTGATGATATTGAACAAGAAATATTTTCTTTGTTAACGCTGAACCGTAAAATGTGCAGTATGAATTTGTGCTGAATTCAGAATGATTCTGTATTCAATACTATTGAATCAAATATAGCAGTTTTAGTTTTGTAGAATTCCTCGAGGCTTTGTAGTGGAATAGTTGAATCATCAAGAATTTATCCAGAGGTAAGAAAGTTCAGTATGGAACTATTTGTAACTACGAAAATTCTGTTATCGAAGTGGCTTTGCGCTCGTTCAATAGTACTATTGCATTTAGTAGTGTTATTTGTTTTTACCTAATTTGATGTAGTGTAACATGTATTGAAAGTGTTTTTTTGAAAGTATTAGATGAAATCGTATGATGTTGTTGAAGTAGCTTTGTAGTATACTGATGAAAGATAGGTAGATAATTCGTTTGTTGTACATGAAATGATCATGTGAAGAATTGTTGAAACGAAAACGAAAACGAGTAGATTGACAAGTAAGTAGGATAGATTTCATGAAATAAATAAGTGTTATGGATGGCATAGAAGCAACGCGATTGCATGAAATTGCATTATGTTCAATGTTACATTGAGTTCCAATATCATGAAGAATTGGAAATGGTAGTAGTTCAAGTTTTTATACTTCATATATATGTCTTATCTAATAAAACTGTTGAAAAGATATTATGAATGTGATTATATAATAACATACATTATATCTATTTTAGTGTTTTGGAACAAAAGAAATCATATATCTTTTCAATGGATGAATGACAATTTTCTATAACTATATTCGAGATAATCATAGTCTATTGTCAATGTTAGTTCGATGAAGAATATATTATGACTTACTAGTTAATTGAAGTGATTATATTGTCAAAACAAGCTATAATTGATACACTTATATAATGTTCTGAAATATCTTGAGAGAAAAACCGTGAAAGAGTAAATATATGGTGTGCTTCTGTTTATTACAATATATCCTCAAAGAGAAGTATAATATTATACACTATGAATTGTATAGACAAACATTACGTTATAAGAAAATCTCAAATATTTACAAATTATTATCATTTATTGTTAGATAATTTATAGAAAATATTTGAATGTTTATAAAAGAAAACTTTAGTTCGATTTTCATTAAAAATGACTTTGAAACTATTGTTAAATTAGCAGTCTTTTTTCAAAGATGTCTAAAAAACAATTGTATTTCATAGAAAATGAATGTAGTTTCAACACATTGAATAAAATGATCTAAATAATAAAGCTACACAATCACTGCATTACCATATCTATAATTCATTTCTGTCGAATATAACTATAAAGTATAGGTATTCATTGTATAATAAAAATAAAAACTCAAATCTTTTTACTGTTTAGGGTGGACAACAATATTTGTAATAAAATAATTATTCGATAGGAACTAAATTAATAAACACACTTCTGTTTATCTAAAAAAGCTTTAAGATTTATTAAGTAAACGGGTCTATTTTCAATAAGAAAACAGAAACAATGAAGATTCGTAAGGACGAACAAAAGTAAATAAACACGAGAGATTATACGATCAAGTTTTATTTTCACTGATAATTATATCTAGATTCTTACATGTACCGTGTAAAACAGTAAATGATCAATATCAACCGTGGACAGTTCTATGGAATGATGCTCTTCTTTTTGTTTCAATAATCTCGAAATGTGGAAAAACAAAGTCCATCATGAAAATTGTGTTTTTACGGCACTTTTTGTAAACGCATGATATGAGTACGATCTCGATATATTCATGTCGGGTTTAAAAGAGTATTTTCTGAATACAACTATGAATTTAATATAAATTTGCTTTTGTAAATCACATATGCTATAATATAGCTATGTTATCTTAGGTATTATAACATCTTTTTATGAGTACATGATACTTGAAGATATTCATTATGTTTCTAGTAGCATAGGAAAAGAATTTTATAAAACTTAAAAGAGTGTATTCTAATATGTTATATATTCATATGAGAAAAAACTTGTAGTTCTACTATATATATCACCACTGTCAGATGTATTATCGGTACTTCTTAGAATAACAAATGGTAATAGATCATTGGGATGAACTATTGTTCTGATTCTCTATTTTCTTGATAACAAAAAATAATGAAAACATACAGAATAACAAGACAATACAATATTAACATAACAAATAATAACAATAAATGAGATGGATAATAATAAATTATATACTGATGTGAATTTACAGGAATACTGATATGAAACAAAATAATTCTAATAACATTATTTTGTATAAAGAAGAATCTGTAGTAGTATACATACTGATATACATTTAAGTTTATTGAATTCAATGAGAAAAATAAAATAATGCCAATCGCAAACTATTATCTCAATAATCGACATTAGATGGTTGTAGTTTTCTGCAATTGTTGTCTTTCTGGTACAGTGTTTATTGTTTTTAGTCCATTTTGATGTTTTAATACATTTTTTTGTGATCTTCTTATATACTTGAGAAATAATTGTTTCACTTCCTGTCGAAATGCTCTGGATGTAATAAAATGAACATAAAATGTTGTATTATAATTTAAATATAAAAGTAATGACATTGTAATGAAAGTGATAAATGATTCAATTTGTTTTCGATCAGCAGTCTTATTTAATACCATGTATGATGTTACTTGCGAGTAAATTATCACCGGTGGATATAATACAGTACAAATAATATAAACAACTACTTCAACTAATATAAGTTTTATGAATGAAATATCTCGTCGATTCAAACGACCATTATTATTATTCATTGGTACAATCTGTAAACGTACACTATTGAGATTCTTGACAAGTAAAATACTGAAAGAAGTCATCAGGACAATAGGTATGAAACCAGTACAAACAGCTATATAAAAACTGAATATTTGTCCATAGATTCCATATACACCACAATGCCCACTTTCAATACTTTCCCAGATGAGTAAATGAACAGATACCACACTCCAGAACAGTGTTATAATAGCAATTGATCGATATGCAATTTGTGGTCGACTTAGAGCTCGAATAGAGATCCGTCTACTACATACTGCATATCGATCAGCACATATTACCACAAGTGTATAACGAAAACACATTGAACTAGTATGTATAACATAACCACGGATACGACATAATATCAATGAATTGCTTACCATATCGAAATGATCAAGTGCATATACTGTTGGTGCTATAGCCCAATTCGAACCCATTAAACAGAAACAAGATACAGCGATAAGATAGATTGAACAAGGATTTGTTCGATGTTTTTTCTGTGAATAGATTATAATTGTTAGTAAATTACCCAGATTACCTAATGCAAGAATTGTAGATAGTGCATACCGAGTAATAAATGTCTGAATAAGATTGAGTGTAGCAATCGTCGACATAATACTTTAGAAATAGTAAGATTGATGTTAAACAAGATGATATCTAGAGAAATAATATAACTACTAAAATAAGAATTGAATTTAGAAAGCTTACGTAATTCACATAAAAATAATTTTAGAATGAAATACAAAAAATCACCAAATAATCTTAGAAATCATTAGATAACGCTCAGATCATCCAGTGATATTAATAAAAAAAGTTAGTTTACACATACTGTTAAATTTCTTAAATTTATCCGATAAAAAAACTAGAAAATGGCTTAAACATAAAAGTTTTAATTTTATGCATGACTATTTCTTGTATGATAAAAATCCAAATGATTTTATTATGATTTGGAATTAACACTGACTAGACACAAATGTTAGACTATTCTATTAAATTAAGAAAAGTCATATATTCGAATACATAGTTCTATACTCATATTCGCTTGTATCGGTAAAGTTGTTAAGGAAAAAGCTATTAGGACGTTGACATTTTTATCCTTTTGAAGAAAAATGATTTGCAGTAATATCAAAAACATTGCATGTCTGAAAAATAAGCTAATACTACGTCATTCTCTTTTATTTTTTTAAAATTTAACTAATTCAATAGACATCATGGAAGATGAGATAGAGATACAAACTCTTATAATACACATTGCCCTTATCTACATTTCATTATTGAAGTAAAGAAAATGTAAAGATACTATAGAAATAAGTTTTTTCTAACATCTAATTCATTTTTCTTACCATTTGAAAATACAATAAGTTCACAATTTCCATATAATGTTTCAGAAACAAAAGACTTTAAAAATAAGGCATTTGTAAGAGATATAGCATTGTAAAAAAAATGAATGCGTCAGATATCATAAGAGTAACTGATTATGATTTACTTTCTGTTTAAATGAAGAATAATATTATTATTATTATAACGATAAAAGAAATTTTTTTCATTCATTTTTTATATAAACTCATAAATCCGCTTATGAGATATACTTTCTTTTAGTCTTTTTTTAGACTTTGTCTTCGCATAAAATGAATTCTATTAATTACTAATCATATGATGAAGAGTATAATCAGATTGAATTGATTCTATTCGAAGCAGGTCATGATATACTATATATGTTAGAAGATATATTTTTTAATGATTCATGCTAATAAAAAACTATCTTATGACAAAAAAGTTTTGTATTATATTTTGATTTTGTTTTCTTCCATCATGATTATTGTCTATTATTACAACAAAGCAACGAGAGAGAGAAAAAACAAAATGTTGAAGCAATATAAATCATTACGTTTGTACTAAATCTTTGAAAAACAAAGTCAAGAAATATATTGAATGTATGTATAATATCATGATGTCTTCTTCTTCTTTTACTATAGTTTGTATCATTACATCTATTCGCACTCGTCACATCTTTCTCTTTCTATCTGCACAGATAAATCTTTTATTTGAAAAAAGAAATATGTAGTATAGTTTAATCAATTTTATACAGATTGTTTTAAGATTCAATATTGATAAATTACATAAACATTTTTTTGACAGAAATATATTAGATTGTTTAAAGGAATTGATCGTTCATTTCATCATTAGAAAAAAATAAATTTACTTTTAGCAATAAAATATTCATCAAAAAAAAAGGAAAGGTGATCAACGAATAAAATATTCGGCTTAGAAATTAATGTAAAAAAAAATAAATTAGAATATGAAAAAAATTTATTTTTATATGTAAAGTATATTTAGTTGAATGTCATACACTTGATTTTCAATCACAATCACATGTCTGGTTCTATTGTATGTGCGTGTCACATTTTTATTTTAGTGAACTATCACTCGATTAATGCCAAAACATAATTATTAATTAAACTATATTATAATCAAAAAACATGCATATATTCAGTTCTCTTTTCTCTGTACTAATCAAATTGAGATGATGTTTTTATTCACTTTATTCCTATTAATATAATGCAATTTTTCATAAAAGCTCTGCATAGTTTGACAGATTCATCAAATACTTCTTGAATTTTCCAGATTGAAGATTAAAATAAAATCATACTATTTAGCAAGACACTTCATACATAATATATTATAAGTCCAATATTGAATATTTCTAAACATTGGATACTAACGCGATTATATTATGAAATGATATCATAAAAGTATAGAAATTATTGAAACACTTGTATACGCTGTAAAAGAGTAGAGCTCTGACTAGTTGTCTATGATAACATGATGATCTTAGTTTCTATTTAAAACTTCGAATACATAAAGGGATGAGAACACTTTTAACAAAAATTGATAATTTAGACTTATATATGTATTTTTCAGCTTGTGATGTAAATCTTTTTTACTACCGATACGTCTGTTGAGCTCGCTATCGTCAGTAAATAAATAACTATTATATATCAAAAATCGATATTAGTAATAATTTTTATTTTGTGAAAACAATTCCAACACTAAATAAAATCTAGAAAGTGAACGAAAAACCGCATATTTGTGATTATTATTTCGTTGTGTGTTTTTCTTTCTTCATCACATATATGGATTCTTTTTTCTGTTGTATTCTGAAACATTCTAGTTATATGTAATGTAGAGAAGAATCGAAAAATAAGAAGACCTCTCATGCTTATTATTATTAAAAAATGGATGATGACGAATTATCATCAGAATGTCCATTATTTCATCAAAATGCTTATGAAAATATGACGTTAACGAATACATATACAACAATCAATTCATCATGAAACTATTGTCCATTATACTTAGCTCGCTTCGTTATGATTTTTTTCACTCATATTCGTTGCCTCAGCATAGACCTGACTCTTGATAGATTAGTAATGTTTAGTTAAGTGGAGTAAATACAAGAATAATTTAAAATGAGAAGAAAAACACATATCGAACTCGATTTTCCTTTACTTGTATTCGTCTTTTTCTTTAGAATAAATAAGTTCATGCGTATTAATAAACGGGTAGAAATGAAGCAGCAATAATTATGGTTTTTGAAAGATGATTTTCATTGATGGGTCACCATTGAGAATGACATCAATGTACTGTAATTTTTATTCGATACAGCACTTTTACTAAACAATGAAAACAAGCTTCATTCAATGTACATTTTATCAATAGATAAGAGAATGAAGATAAAAATATGGCACAGAATAGAAATAACATTCATTATTTTTCTTTTAGAATATTACAAAAGACAGGGAAATGTAAATACTCTGTTATCAACTTGAAATGGTAAAGTATCAATGTTGGTAATTTTATTTCTTTTCTGTCTCAAGTGCTTCCTTTCTTTAAAACTAACATGATTTTTATTCATATCAGTTTTGTATGATGTACATCAACAACATATTTAATAAATAATGTAAGATGCAAGATGTAAATAGTATATCTTTGCAATTTCAAGAATTAATAGAAGTATTACAAGCTAAACTATGAGGAATATAGAACTCTTTTATTGAAATTCTTTTTTTTTAATTACTATTCGTTGAAACAATGGAAGTCTTTTAAATGCAAATAAATCTAAGAATTGAAGATTAAAATAACGATCATTTTATTTTTAATTTAAAGTTTAAATATTATTAGAAAAAGCCTATTGCTTATGGCTTGTTGTGGTGCTGTGCGTCATTTTATATTCTGTTGTCGACATTTTATCAGACGCCACTTCATATCTTTACTTTATACGTTCTACGCTTGTGATGCCGGCGCATTACAACTGAATCGTATATTTCTTCTTCTTTTTTTCTTTCCTCTACAAAATTTTGTTTTTTTTAACATTCTGTGGGTTTTTTCTTTTTTTAAGTCTTCAATAACCATATTTTCTTACAGAAGTTGGCATTTTTAGATTGTAATTTCATATGTAACTAGAATATATTTGGTCAAAAGTACACTAAGAAGATTTGTAGTGTTAATAAAAATTTTATTGAGATGTCAACATCTGAGAACAACTCTTTTCGAAGAAACAGATTAGAAGAAAATAGTGTAAGTAAATCATTACTATTCTTTACGAAAATCGAATCTATTGATATTGTTTATATGTTCAGTTATTTATTATTTTCTATTATGTTGTCAATCAAATCTATGATATACTATTCTTTCTATGCAGCCTTCTTCTCAATCCTTATTGAGGGACTTGATTGCTTTTTAGACTCTATTTTATCACCTACATGAAAGTTTCACATTAGAATATATAAAACATTATTTATTATTTCTATTCATAGGACGATGATACTACATCTTCATCATCTCGTGATAATTCTGCTTCAAAGATAGAGCCTGTTAAAGCAGAATCTACCACCGACAATGACGATACGTATTATAATCGAATGCATGACAACAGCAAACAACAAACGAAAACAGCTCAAGGTTTCTTTGATTATGTTGTATATCAATTGAATTTTTGGATAATATTTTAGATTCTTTAGATGAAGAGCATAATATGGCAACATTGCAATCAACTGATGTACAAGATTGGAAATGTCGTGAATGCGGCTATGTGAATGAAGATAGTGATACTGTATGTGATACTTGTGGAACATGTAAACCAATACGTCCAAGTCATGAAATACATACAAACTATTCAGAAAGACGTCCATCAACGTCTTTATCTAATAGTCGCAGTTCTTCTCCGGGTAGTAGAACTATGTATAGTCGAGAAAATTCACCAAGTCCAATATCGTTTCGGCAACAGAATTCAAGTCGTGAACAATCACCATCAAAAACAGATGAATCTGATGATGAAAAATCCTCCACTCATTCACCTGTTCGATCAAGAATACGTCGAAAATCGTCACAATCATATTCATTGGACGATAATCAAGATCCATCTTCAACAGATACGATAAAACAAAAGCGATCACCCAAAAGTAAATATTTTGTTAATCGTTATTTGAACCTCTCACACTCACCCCATCTCATTTATTTCTGTGTTTATTTCAGACTCATTCAGAATCCATTCGCCTTTACGTGATCAAAACCGTCGAAAAGATGATTATAAATCCGAACATAATAATTCTGC